TTAATATATTAATACATTTGTGAAAAACTGTTCAAATTAATTGTCTAAACTCTGGTGGTTTCTGTTTCTTTTTTGTTCCTTGTAATGTTAGTATAATACCAACAAGTGCCTTAGTCTCAGCCTTATTTCGAAGATTTGTTAGAATATTATCCAAGCTTATAAATATTGGATACTATGAACTTTTTTCTAAATAATCTAGTGTAGTTGCATTGGAGTATAATATTATAGCCAAAACCTTATTTTGGATAGGATATGTTGTTGTGCATAACCCCACCATTTGAAATTATAAAATTCAGAAAATAATCTTTCTTGATGTCCCTAAAATGTAGAATTATTAATATGCAATTTTTAATTTATATAAAGTGCAAAATCAATATATTTTTACACATATATCTCATCTAATTTCAACTATGACTACATGATGGTAAATTAATAACTAAGTTTTTATTAATTAGAAATCGAAATTAGAGAGATATATATAAACACAATAAATATTAAGAATATAGTTGCATCTATAGCTATACAGTGCAAGACACCTAAAATCAGCATATAAAATAGATAATTTTTAATTGATTAAATTAGAAAACAACTAATTGGTTAATACTAATTAATCGATTAATTGCTAATTAGTTAGTTGATTTTTAATTAATTTCTTAAAACTTTTGGTTAACTAATCAACTGATTTTGGTTTGATTTGGAAGACTAATTTACAAATATAAATAGAAATACTGCAATTAGATATTCCACACTGTAGTTATATAAGAATTCTACTTGCCTCAACTGATATATAAATTTCTTGATAATCACAAACACAATTTTCTGCAATTTTTTGATTTGAAGAATTTCTTTAACTGATAAAATAATTGGCCTATATTCAAAAGAATATATCTGGCCGTTACTTTTTGCAACAGGAGTTAAAAAAATTTTCATATGATCCTTTCTCAAAATGTCCAAGAAAAGAAGACCATCCTTCATTGATTGGGGCAAATTTTTTTTTAAAATTTGGCCATGTCTTTTTATAAACTTTAATACAGCATTACTAGCTGTATAAGAAAGCTTATATTTGATTATCTAAAAAAACCAAAATTTTATTTAAGCTTATAGCATATAGCATCTCACTAGAGAGAGTTAAAATAATAATAATAATAATAATAATAAAATAAAAAATAATAATAAATAAAAAAAATAATTAAATTCATAATATGATAGTTACTATGTTTATGAAATCCTGATATATAGTACTTGAAAATCTGTATTATCTATTTTACTATCATTGCTATATTCATTATCATCACTCTGAAATTCATTAGCTTCATCAATAACCATATTATTTTCTAATATATCCTTTCCAAAAATTTTACCAAACTTATAAATATTAGAAATCTCTTGATTATCAGATATTAGATCACCAGCAATACTTTGTGCCTCAAATATTAGGTTAGATTTATTAATACTTTCTTGATCATCAATCATTATGTTATTATTTTGTCTACTTATAACATCTAATTTGTCAAAATTAAAAGTACTCGTATTATTATCAGTTTCACTTTCAATATAATGACTACTTTGCCTGTTTATAATATCAAATTCATCAGAATCATAAGTATTTATTTCTTCAGAATTATAAGTATCTGTGCTATTGTTACTTTTATCTTCAATTCGATAACAGTTTTTATGAACCTTTTTATAATTTTTAAGGCTCATAGATAACCAAACTTTTTGCTGTACACACTACAGTTAGATATGAAATATCTAAGAAAAAAAAATTAAATTTAAAATCAAATTATAAATATTTGATTTTGTATTTTTATTAAATAGCAGTTTACTGCAATATAAGTTAAAATATCTTGAGGTGAGCACAGGAGTTTTTTTTTTGTTATTTTTTAGCTTACAAAGCAAATACTAAATTTTTTATTTAATTTTTTTTTGCTTTTATACTAAATTTAAACTTTTAATTACATCATCGATCTTATATATCATACTGTATTAAAAATTTAGGATTGAATATTCTAGATTAGTATATAATAAGAGAACAATAGTAACTAATTAAGCTATGATTAACTGAATATTCTAATATATTACACAAATCAGTTATTTTATATAAATATCTTTAAAAGTAATTACTAACTATTCTTTACGATTATAACTTTGCTTTTATATATTCGTTAGACCAGACCAATTTAATTTTATATTTAATATAATCCCCTCTATTTTTTAAAATATCAGGCAAAAAAATATATAGCACTAATTAACCAAATTGCAATATAATTTTTATATCTTTACAACTAATAGAATTACTGTACTTTTTCAATTCGTATTTTTTTATACCTTTCTCTACTCTTGTTATCTATTTTATATTGTGTCAAACAAAGAATTAATTTGGTATAGCCTTACTAACTACAAGTCATTATTAAGTATCAATACTAAATACTTTAAGATAAGTCCCTATAGCCTGTCACACTTGTATATATTATTCAATAATTTCTGTTTCTTTTTTTTTGTTTTTTTTTTAAAAAAAATAATGCCTATAAATTCATTATTCTCTTAATTTTTGTATTATTTATCTTAAAATTACTGTAATTGATGAGTACATACCAGTCTACTCAAGCTGCCCAAACTGTTATAACTATCTTGATAGATATAAAATAGTTAACTTGTACAATATATCTAGCTAACTAAAAGAATCTTAAAATAAGTATATAATTGGGTTCAGTGTTTGATATTATGCATAATGAGAAAATGTTATAAATTTAATTTATCTTCCTTCAGAGTCAGATCTATATTTACTAAAAACTATGTATTGTTAAATACTAAAAAAATGATGTTTAATATACAGATAAATTGAATTTTTATTAATAAGTAGAACTACAAATACAATTGTAAATATAATATTAATTACTGCTAACATTATACTATTATTGCTACTTAGGTATATTACTACAAGAGACATTAAAGGGTATTATTTTCTAATCTCCAAAAGTTTGTAACCAATGATTGATCGATTTAAAGATCTACGTCTAAATATGGCTTACTAAAGCAGAAATTCTTTATATCAAAGCTGTCCAATCACATATTTTTATAATAATATAACCTTATATAGATAACACAATTAAAAACAAGTATTTTTCTTGATTTTTATCTTTAATTATATTATTAACTTTTTATGTATTATGTAATTTGTGTACCATGTATATGTATGTATAGTCTTGTTATTAGATCCTTATATAATTAATATTTAAACAACTCTTAAAATTAAAAGTGCAGCTTATTATAATTTTTTTAGATACCAAAATACTTTAAGAAATGCTCTTTTTATTATATCTCAGAAAGGCCGAAAACAAAAACTTGACTCTCAACAAAACGAAGTTGCTTTGGTAATTATTAAGCCTTGAATTCTTAAATAGTTAAAAAAGATTTAAATAAAAACATTATTTATTTATTTAATTGTTTGTTTTATTTTATTTTATTTTATTTTTAGACATTAGATGCTCTAAGGTCTAATCCATCTACTTCAAATATAAAAAACTACAAAATGCAAATGAAACTACTACTCAATCTCGTAAAAACACAAAGAAAATATCATATAAGCCTATAAGCCAAATAATATTAACAATGCTAATATTAATGATATTGATATCAATATTTCAAATGCTCCTCATGAAATTATTGAAAGCATATCTAGATTTCTATTTAGTGAATCTTTTACTAATATGATGGAAAATTTGTTAGTTGATAAAAATTGTTAGTTTTAAAAATGTACAAAAAATACTATAGGTTATTAAACAATTTACTTGTATTATACAAGAAAATTATTTGGTAACCTGTAGTACCCTATATCTATTTTATGAAATTCTAGATTACAAGTACTGATTTTGAATTAAAAATAGTATCGAATAAAGAAAGTAAAACAATAAAATTAATACTAAAAACAACTAAACAAGTAGTAATGCAAAGTAATTCAATTATTAAAAAACAAGAATCATTTGAAACTACAGTTATTCGGCTAGTTAATAATATCAATAGTTTGATTATAAAAAAACAAGAATTATTAGAAGCTATACTTACTCAGCTAATTAACGATATCAAAACTTTACAATCTTCATATAAAGATATCAGATCTAATATGAAAGACCAAGATCAAGAATGGTGGTAGATATATTTAATATTATTTCAAATTATATCAATAATGCTAGCATGTAGGATTGCTTATCTGTTTATGTAGTCGATTAACTAATATAAAATTAAGATACAATTTATTATAGTTGAACCTCTCTATAATTACCTCTATACAAGTACATTATATAAAGTTTTCTTTATAAACATATCTCTTTAAAATCAACTATTATAATTATATAAAAAAACTCTATATAAGTAATTCAAAATATGATTATAGAGAGATAATAGCTTTAATTTCAACCTAAACTCTATTAACAAAATTTTTATATTCAATTATATGAACAGAAATTCAATCCTATGCTATTGAAATTAATTTTTAATTTGAATTCTTATTATGTAAGCATTTTTATTTAAGTAGATGATGTTTTTAGTAAGATCTTTAATAATCGTTTAACTAACCAAAATCCTAATAATACTGCTATTTGATTTATTGAATTTATTTATTAAAATTTTTATTAATTTCAGAAAAGTGCAGTACAAGATATAAAGAATGCTATAGATAATTAGCTTTATTTCAACAATAAGATCTACAAACAGGCTGTTTGAAAAGAGCTTAATACTCTTTGTTTTGATAAAATAGCCATTATAAGAAAGATTCCAAATGGGAAATATTATTTGCTAAGATCGAAAATTCAGTAAGAAATTGATTCGTTGTGTAGTTTTATGTTAGTATTAATATTCTCTATATCATAATATTCTACGTGATTTCGGTATCTTGCATTTAAGATCTGACCCAAGAATAAATGCAAAACTCATCAACTACTTTTGGATCTAATTAATAAGTGCTTAGATATAGAACTTCAAAATTGACTAAATGTGAAAAATTATCTAATACATTGAACTGACTTTACTATACCAGATATTGTTATCATCATAGAAGTGGATTTGAAAGGATTATTTATTTCAAAGATCCTCAGAGATGTGCAATGCTGATAGATTATATAATGCTAGATGAATATAGAACTTTCATTTACTATCAAAAATCTGTAAATAAACTTATAATGCCAGATACCATTATTAACATAGAATTAGACTTGAAAAGAATGAATATAAAGCTTTTACTTACTATCAAAATCTGCAGAGATAGATTATACTGATAGAACATGTAATGCCAAATATTATCAAAAATTTGCTGATAGAATATATTATTATAAAAATCTGCAAATATGGGCAATGCTGATAGAATGCTAGATGAAGATAGAGCTTTTATTTATTATCAAAAATCTACAGATAGGAATGCTGATAAAAAATATAATGCCAGAAATTATTATCAACATGGAATTGGACTTGAAAAGAATAAATATAATACTTTCACTTATTCTTAAAATTCTGCAGAGATAGTTGACGCTGATAGAAAAATTTGCAGATATTGTTACTATCATGGAATTGAACTTGAAAAGGCTTTCATTATTATCAAAAATCTGCAGATATGGATGATGTTGATGGAGCATATAATATTAGATGAAAATAGAGCTTTTATTTATCAAAAATTTACATATAAGTGATGCTGATGAACATATAATGCTGGATATCATTATCACAATCTAGGACTTTTATTCATATTAAAAATTAGCAGATATGGGATATGCTGGTGAAACAAATAATATTAGACATTATTATCAACATGTAATTGGGTTGAGAAGGACAAATGTAATAAAGGCATTAGCATATCAAATCTATTATATCTATTATTCACAAAACTCTTGCTAGTTGCCAAAAAAATAATAAATGAAAACATCAGCACATTACAATGCTGATAAAGTGAAGAAACCCAAAATGGATACATATGACAGCTCTAATTAGCAAAGATACTATCAGATAACGTTAATGACAAGTATGATGCTAAAAGCAAAGCAACAATACCAAAAAGCAAAACAATGATACCAGAAAGGCTAAAACAAAAAAAATTTGATTAATATTGTATAATTAAGTAATAAAAATAATGTAAACAAAAAAAAAATACGTATCAATTATATTTTGCTAAATACAAAATTCGGTGATGCTAGATTTGCTTAAATAATTCTTTTGTTTTTATTTTTATATTATTTTTCTTTAAAAATATGAAATTTTAATTTATTAATTATTTAATATAAATACTTTTTTTTATATTTATTTATTAATAACTTATTTAAATTAAATCTTATATACTTTAAAAGTGAATATGTATTTAGGTTCTGATAATACTGCAATAGTTTAACTATGTATCTGGTTACATAGATCAGAATTATACTGATTTTTTATATATATATATTTAGTTGTGCTTTTACTAATTTCAGATCATCTTTTTTTTGGTTTTACTTTTCGGATTAGCACTTCACATTACAGTTGTCTCTTTCTCTGATATCTTTGTTTCAGGTCAATACTTCTTTTACAATTGTCTCTTTCGCCGATATTTTTATTTCGGGTCAGTACTTCGCTTTACAATTGTCTTTTTTGCTAATATCTTTGTTTCGGGTCAGTACTTCGTTTTACAATTGTCTCTTTATTTTGGGTCAGTACTTCACTTTACAATTATCTCTTTCGCTGATATCTTTATTTCGGGTCAGTGTTTGGCTTTACAATTATCTCTTTCACTGATATCTTTGTTTCAGGTCAGTACTTCACTTTACAATTGGTTTTAATACTGATAATTTTTTTTTTAGATCAGTACTTCACTTTACAATTGTCTCTTTTGCTGATATCTTTGTTTCAGATCAGTACTTTGGTTTACAATTATCTCTTTCACTGGTATCTTTGTTTTAGATCAGTACTTCATTTTACAATTGTCTCTTTAGCTTTATTTTGTTTCGGATTAGTACTTTATTTTACAATTGTTTCTTTTGCTGATATCTTTTTTTTGGGTCAGTACTTCGTTTTACAATTGTCTCTTTTGATGGTATTTTGTTTTAGGTCAGTACTTCGTTTTACAATTGTCTCTTTCACTGATATCTTTGTTTTGAGTCAGTGCTTGGCTTTACAATTGTTTCTTTTGCTGATATCTTTGTTTTGGGTCAGTACTTCGCTTTACAATTGGCTCTAACACTAACAATTTTTTTTTTAGATCAGTACTTCACTTTACAATTGTCTCTTTCACTGGTATCTTTGTTTCGGGTCAGTACTTCATTTTACAATTGTCTCTTTGCCGGTATTTTTATTTCAGGTCAGTATTTTGCTTTACAATTGTCTCTTTCGCTGTTTCAGGTCAGTACTTCATTTTACAATTGTCTCTTTCACCAGTATTTTTATTTTGAGTTAGTACTTCACTTTACAATTATCTCTTTCGCTGATATCTTCATTTCGGGTCAGTGTTTGGCTTTACAATTGTCTCTTTCACTGATATCTTTGTTTCGGGTCAGTACTTCGCTTTACAATTAGCTCTAACACTGACAATTTTTTTTTTAGATCAGTACTTCGCTTTACAATTGTCTCTTTACTGGTATCTTTGTTTTGGGTCAGTACTTTGTTTTACAATTGTCTCTTTCACCAGTATCTTTGTTTCAGGTCAGTACTTCATTTACAATTGTCTCTTTAGCCTTATTTTGTTTCAGGTCAGTACTTCATTTTACAATTGTCTCTTTTGCTGATATCTTTTTTTTGGGTCAGTACTTCATTTTACAATTGTCTCTTTCAACGGTATTTTGTTTTGGGTCAGTACTTCATTTGAAAATTGTCTCTTTCGCTGATATCTTTGTTTTGGGTCAGTGCTCGGCTTTACAATTGTCTTTTTTGCTGATATTTTTGTTTTGGGTTAGTACTTCGCTTTACAATTGGCTCTAACACTGACAATTTTTTTTTAGGTCAGTACTTTGCTTTACAATTGTCTCTTTCACCGGTATTTTTGTTTTGGGTCAGTACTTCGTTTTACAATTGTCTTTTTGCTGATATCTTTGTTTCAGGTCAGTACTTCGTTTTATAATTATCTTTTTGTCAATATCTTTGTTTTGGGTTAGCACTTCATTTTACAATTGTCTCTTTTGCTAATATCTTTGTTTTAGGTCAGTGCTTCGTTTACAATTGTCTCTTTTACCGATATTTTTATTTTAGGTCAGTACTTTGCTTTACAATTATCTCTTTTGCTAATATCTTCATTTCGGGTCAGTGTTTGGCTTTACAATTGTTTCTTTCACTGATATCTTTGTTTCGGGTCAGTACTTCGCTTTATAATTGGCTCTAACATTGTCAATTTTTTTTTAGATCAGTACTTCGCTTTACAATTGTCTTTTTCGCTAATATCTTCATTTTGGGTTATTGTTTGGTTTTACAATTGTCTCTTTCACCAGTATTTTTATTTCGGGTCAGTATTTCATTTTACAATTTTCTCTTTGTTTTGGGTTAGTACTTCACTTTACAATTGTCTCTTTTGCTGATATCTTTGTTTCAGGTTAGTACTTCGTTTTACAATTGTCTCTTTTGCCGGTATTTTTTTCAGGTCAGTACTTTGCTTTACAATTGGGTCTAACACTGACAATTTTTTTTTTAGGTCAGTACTTCGCTTTACAATTGGCTCTAATACTGACAATTTTTTTTTAGGTCAGTACTTCACTTTACAATTGTCTTTTTCGCTGATATCTTTGTTTGGGTCAGTACTTTGTCTTACTTTTCACCCAGGGATGTACATTTTGACTGTCCAAAGGCTTTTTTGGTACTGTCCAACGTCCAAATATCCAAGTGTCCAAAAGTGTCCAGAGTATACTTAAACTTTAATAATTAATAAATTTGTTTAAAATATATATAACTATATATTTTTTTAGATGCTAAACATATTTTACTTAGAAAGTAATATAGATTATCTTAATAAAATTTTGAGTAATTTTAATTTATTTAATTGTCCAAAATTATCCAAAGTGTCCAAACTCACTATCCACAACTGTCTCGTGACAATACTGCGTTCACCAGTATTTTTGTTTCAGGTCAGTACTTTACTTTACAATTGTCTCTTTTGCTGATATTTTTGTTTCAGGTCAGTACTTAGTTTTACAATTGTTTCTTTAGCCAGTG